AAAGACTTAGTATTATTCCCATATTTATTACTTGAAACTTGAAGATTCTGCATTCCTTCATTGATATCAGTCATCTTTGATGGCGCATCTGTKGCATCTCCATTTGAYGAGAGGACGTTTTCCAGACAGCTTAAGCTATGAGTCAAACCCTGTCGTTGTAATACTTGCTTTAATACTGATACATTGGCCATATCTCCTTCTCGGGYTGTCCAGTCTTCAATGACAGCGTAAGTTGGATTGGGAWTTCCAATGTAGTCTTTTTGCGGCAGCTGCAATTCTTGGGTCAGCCTAGAAAAAATTAGAATGGATTACTTATATCTGGAAAACACTMACTTTTAATATATAATAATACAAAATTAAAGACTGTAATTGTTGACTGGCTAGCTGTTAGATCTTTTGAAAATGTGACGGAAAAAGTAAATTTATTAAAACATTTCTTATGGTGACATAATTTCGGGTTCCCTGTGCTGTTACACTCAATCACAAACTCAATSCATGATAGCTAAGTGCCTAGACTAGCCTCTTTAAGAGGCAGTTAGCCACAAAAATGCTAAAATGTTTAAGAAATGTTTGGTAAATAAGGAATTTATTGTAAACAAACAGTTCAATAATCTGATATAACCASAACACTCACTTTTTCCAATTTGCATTCTCATTAGTAATGGCATAAAAATTTGCCAAGTGGTCTTTKATCTGGCTGACAGGGGTCTGGTACTCAGGATGAAGAGTTAATGGTTTCTTATGTGTTTTCTCTAGTTTGTCTGAAATTCAGTACAAACAAAGARCATCACAAATAATTCTTTGAGTGCAATTGTAACATCAAAAACTGTAGTACAGACTGTAGTTTCAATCTGTTGTGCTTTGCGTTCAGTCAATGTTGTTATGTAAATGAAGCATCTAGCTGGCCGGCAGCACGTGTAAGTGTATGTAGAATGTGTCTGTAATATAGCAACTTAAGAGTGTGTTGGGCTGCGTCTTGCGCAATTCAGAATCTGTCCTGCCATGAAAGACGGTTAGCACCCAACACCTTTAGTATTTGGAGCAACACTATATAGATTGAATAAAATACAGATCAAGATTTATCTACCGTATGTGCATACTAGGTATTTATAATAAAAAAGTGCCAAAATTTTGGACATTGTCCCGGGGGGGGTACTCCCCCGAAACTTGTGTGGGGGTGTGCCGCTGGGACCTCAAAACCCTGATCCTGTTCCAGAGTGAAATCGCTGAAAACTATACCCTGTTCCAGAGTAAAATCGCTGAAAACGATATCCTGTTCCAGAGAAAATCCAGCACTAGCTTGCGTGTAGACCGAATTTTTACCCCATGAATTTTTATCCAGCATCAATAATTCCGGAATTCAACCCTGACCCTGTTCCAGAGAAAATTCGTTGAAATCGATACCCTGTTCCAGAGTAAAATCGCTAAAATCGATACCCAGTTCCAGAGTAAANTCACAAATAATTCTTTGAGTGCAATTGTAACATCAAAAACTGTAGTACAGACTGTAGTTTCAATCTGTTGTGCTTAGCACCCAATAGTATTTGGAGCAACACTAATAGACTAAATAAAATACAGATCAAGATTTATCTACCGTATGTGCATACTAGGTATTTATAATGAAAAAGGCTATTGGTTCAAGTTTATGGTAGTAAGATAGTGACTTTTTTCTTATGCAATTTAATATTAAGAATATTAATGACAACATGATATTACCTTCTGGGCTGGTGGTCCCCTTCTGAAACTCATAGATGCTCTTGTATTCCTCCAGAACGTTAAGAAAATGATTATAGACAGACATCCCTTTCTTAGGTAATATGGACAAGAATTCATCAATCATTGCATCTTGTGTAGCCTGTGACTCTATCAAYTGACAATCAGGGCCTGTGAGGACGCCTCTCATCAGTTTTAGAATACGTTTAAAGTTAACGTGTCTGAGTTGTTCTCTAAATTCTGAGCTTCTCAGTTTATTCCTTATTTCTTGAGACATGATTTTATTGTCTGTTGCTATAAATATAAATGAGATATATCAAGAAATGATAATTTATAATTTAATACAACATTGTACAWTGATTTAGCCTGAGTATCAGGCTCTCTCGAACGGGTCCGCCSCAAACCCCTTCGAGAGATAATGAGAGATAATGATTGGGACAATAACAATAAGTCAAAAACATTGTATAATTTCTATTTTTTTTTTTTTTGGAACGCTTTATATATTTTTTAAAATGATTGACCATTAATTAAAACTGCATTACATTACTTTTAGCTTACAGAAACTAATGCTGGGATTCCTTTCATGACATGAATGTTAAAGTGAAGAACAAAATGAAGTTGCCTGCTATGGTGATACTTTATTTGTTTGAAAATGTGATAGCTATTCATAACATATTAGGCAAGCAAACTCATAGTCTCCTCGCACGTGGAGAGGTTGCGTGACGCTTGACCGAAACTAAACACGGCTGCGAGGAGACTAGCAAACTCAGGGCAGCAGTAAGATTGATTTGTCAAAGTGCGGTCAGGTAAAATCCATATTGTGAAATACTTAAAACAYGGTCCCTACCGCAACGTATTAATAYAYCAGTTGAAAGTAAGTGTCTGCAGTCAAGTGAGGCATATAAAAGATCTCTATATGCACAAAGAAACAAGCATAGAAATACTGGAGCATTAGCTAATAGAAAAACAAAGAAGCAAATGATGAACATTTGCCTTCCTACGACTGGTTAATGTGTTTTTATGCTTGTATCATGTAAACCAGGCTTTAGCAAGGATGAAGATATGATCTTTGACCATCTGTCGACCAAAACGACATATGACTAGCAACCCAAAGTCTCAAGTGCTCCTGTTTCATTGCACGTGAAACTATTTAATATTATATGCACATAGAAAATATAGAATCTAGCTTGATACTAAGGTACAAACACTAAATATGTGCAACAGTTTGCACTATTTACTGCTAAATAGTTCTAACTGAACAATGGAAAACAATAAAGTCAGCATAAGTTAGCAGTATTTAGTGAATAATTTGTTGCACACTTTTAGTGTTTGAACTCTCAGAAATAATAAAAACAAACTTCAATATAGTATCCTGACCATCCCATCTAAGAGGAATAAATAAGAGATGATGATGACGATGACAATGATGATGATGATTACACGACAGAAATATTCCGACTCAACCTGGCCCATTGAAACCCCAATACGACAACAGAACTTAGATTTCTCTTCCTTGGAATTTCAGCGAGRGATTCTCTACTTACCGATGTAGTCACTAGGTTCTGATAGGCCTGCTTCTTTCGAAAGCAAGCTAGCTAAATGTGGTTGAGTCTTCCATAAACCATTGACAAAGCACTCGAATGCCGTCGGCCCTTTTCTGGGTAATATGTCAAGTAGACTTCTTGCTTGTTCTGTCGGAGTTTTCTCAGCTCTTATGTCTTCATCGTCTTCAGGGTTTAATATTTTACTCAAGTAAGGTAGTAGCTGTTTTGCTTGTAGATCTGGTTCAAAAATATGCCGATTTTTGCGTAAAATACGTCGATGTTCTTCGGACATACGAGTTTCCTCGACTTCGGCCATGATTGCTTCCCCTTCTTTTCCAGTTTCGGGGAATACCCTGTGACGTCATATCAGGCCTGGTTACTTATCCAAAAAAACATGGCTGTTGGCGGCTGAATGAAAATAATGAAGAAGTTGTGTAGATACTTTTTCTGTAGATTTACTGCAGTTATATCCATACTCTAGTCCTCTTATGAAKTATAATGAATCTATGATACTTTAGTTCTGCATAAATGACAGAACGAAAGCCGTGGAGGAAGGTTTTGTACGAAGTTCAAGATTATCCTGACAACTATGTCGACCACTCGTTCCTTGAAAAGTTGAAGAAAAATCGTGAGTATTTTTATTCAATAAGCTCAACCACATTAGATATTATTATCGCAGCAAATATACTTAAAGGTAAACTGTTTGCTGCTTCCACGATAGCGGTTCTACTAAAGGATCGGTGTTTTTTTAGTTTACACAAGGACCTATGACTTTCGKCGCGTTGCTTGGGAGTCCTGCATGGTATCTCAGCAAATAAGCTGGTAGGTAAGCTCTTAGRAATGTCTCTTACCTTTGGGTACTTCTATACTATGTCCAGAGTGTAAATTCCTTGTAAATTATGATATATCCACACACCCCCTCCCCTGTCAAATATAATTGYCCCCCACCCCTYCCCCTGAAACAACTGTCAATTTTCTSTGATTTCATCTTCAGTGTTTGTTTATTTGTGGCCATTTTTGTGTACATGGACAACAAAGTTCTAYTGCCATCAACTTTAATAACAATCTCGAGCATTTTAACCATTCTTGGCTATGTCGCCTATGAAGCTGTTGATCAAGGWAGAGCTAGAAGGATTA